TATAAAGTCGCCACTACCTGCTGCCCTTAAACATCCACAATTAAGGACAGGCACAATCTTAACAAAGTCAGTTTTAGAACATAAACGATCTGCGCATGTTTAGATGTCAAAATAAGAGCGGTATTAATAGTGACTGACTTTAAGTGAACTTGCAATAACTCTCCCCAGATAACAATTATACATTCTTAGCATATTCTTAGTGTATACTTTTTAAGAATACGGATATGCTGAGAATATACTTTATTTGCATTTAGTACATTCTCAGAATATACTAAGCATATGTTACGTGACGTTGTTTATACGTGCTATGCAGATACTGAGAATGTACTTCAAGTATGTGTACAGGTATCTACTCTAATTTGATAGTACGTTCATAGTATATATGCTAAGTATTTAAATATAGCATATGCTAGGCATATACTAGACACCCTAATACAGGATGTTTGATTAATATTGAACATTAAAGAATAAGTGTACCTATATAATGAAAGTCGTAAGCATTTTTTAAATCTTTATTTAAAAAAAATCATATATACTTATCTTATTTTTATTACAAATTCGTTCTTTGGACTTAACCAACCAATATTTTATTGCTTGATTCCATTGGATGTTCATTGAACCTAAAAAATAAAAAAAAATCAACAAACTTGGTACATATACATATACATAGCTAATGCAATATTTTAGTCGAACGTAAAACATTAAAAATTGTACATAGCATTCCACTAACAAAAACAAGAGTTACATAAATGATTATTTTGTTTTGTGAAAGTTTAAATATATTTTTGTTAATTACTTACCACCATTTTGTAGTTTTCGTCCTCCTTTAGCTAATTTTATAGTTCTTCCAGGTCAATTTCTGGCTTTACAATATTTTTTTTATAGAAACTGTGTATGTAATTCTGGTAACACTGTATTTTAGTTTCAATCCGCCATTAGTATTAACCATATTAATAAATTTATATTGGCAATTACTATTTGGGATATCCTGTGTTCTAACATCAATTATAAGTCCTAAAAACTACAAATATAGTAAAATTTGTTTATTTTTATATAGAACACACAATGCAATTAATTTTTAATAATTTACTTACCTATTACAAACTGAAACATAATGATCTAAAAAATTTGTAGGAATTGTAGGTTGTGGTATTTTTCTTCTTCTCTTCTGTTAAAGTTGCAAATGTTTTTTGGTCTGAACCCTGAACGTTAGTGCGTTTGCTAGCGAATTATCAGATCGACATCTGGGAAAAATTTATATGGATGTGTATATAAACGTGTTTTTACATGTATTTAGTGTTAATTTTTACCTGCAAGCATTTAGAACATTCTCAGAATATGAGGAACATGCTGGGTATAGGACTTTTGGTATCTTCTAAGAATGTCCTGTTATAGCACGTGCTGAGTATATACTTTTTGGAATATACTTTTAAGGCACGTACTTAGTATATACTTATATACTTTCTAGAATATACTTTCAAAGTATATACTAGGTATATTCTAAGAACATTCTAGAAAGCATATACTAAAAAGAACATAGACAGAACATTCTTAGTATATTCATAGAACATTGATGTTATGTGGATCTAATTAGGCATTCCAACGACCTGTCAAACTGCTGATAAGTGGGAACTAATATTTTAGATATGGCAACCCTGTGAGTGAGCTTGTTGTCATCGACAGGGTCAATGATACATTTATAGTTATATAGATTGCTCAAAGCGGGTCGTAAGTAAAAGGTAATTAATGGTATTTTTTGTGGTTATAATTTTGTTTTGAATGGTTATATTATTAATTATGTTCATTGACCTTCTTTTTGTGATAACTATGCTTTCTGTCTTAGAGGAGTTTATCTTTATTTTATTCTCACTTAGATACGGGATTAGTGTCTCATTTATGTGACTGCCCAGTTTCCTGTTGCTTTGCTCTGCTGCCCATAAAGATTTGTACACACAGGTGTCGTCGGCGTACAACGCCGTCTGTCCCATTTAGTACATTTAAAATAACGGTAAAAGGTCGAGAAACATATTTTGGGGCGCAGATTACGAAAATGAGGGTCAAACTGGCAGCAATGGTTGGAAAACCTCTAAAATTGCAGAAAACACCCCTATATAGGGGTGCTGATTACGAAAATTGGGATTGAACCACCCCTAAAATTACAAAAAACACCCCTAAATAGAGGTGTTTTTCGACTGTACTTGTTGTTTTGCAAATTAACTCATCTCATATGTTTTTTGGGGCGCTGATTTCGAAAATTGGGGTGTCGAGACTGGAAAATTTGTGTGACACCCCCCACATGCCAGAAACACCCCTCCCAAGGGGTGAATTTTCGGAAGAAATGGACAGTCACGGTGTTTCGCGAACTAAGTCATCTTTTATGTTTTTGGGTCGCTGTCTCCAAATTAATTTTAATATGTAAACAAAAAGTATCAATATCTTTCTGATACTCGTATTTTTTAAGTCTTTAGTCATATTTTATATCTATTAATAAAAATATATTCCATTTTTAGTTTTTGTATTTTATGTTTAATTTTTCACCAAAATCCACCGGTTGGGAGGGGTGTTCTGGCATGTGGGGGGTGTCACATAAATTTTCCAGTCTCGACACCCCGATTTTCGAAATCAGTGACCCAAAAAACATATGAGATGAGTTAGTTTGCAAAACAACAAGAGCAGTCGAAAAACACGTCTACTTAGGGGTCTTTTTTGCAATTTTAGGGGTGGTTCAACCATTGCTGCAAGTTTTAACCCCCATTTTCGTAATCAGCGTTCCAAAAAACATATAAGATGACTTAGTTTGCGAAACACCGTGACTGGTCATTTTTTGCGAAAATTCCCCCCTTGGGAGGGGTGTTTCTGGCATGTGGGGGATGTCGCATAAATTTTTCAGTCTCCACACCTTGATTTTCAAAATCAGCGCCCCAAAAAACATATGAGATGAGTTAGTTTGCAAAACAACAAGTACCGTCGAATAACACCCCTACTTAGGGGTGTATTTTGCAATTTTAGGGGTGGTTCAACCATTGCTGTAAGTTTTAACCCCGATTTTCGTAATCAGCGCCCCAAAAAACATATAAGATGGCTTAGTTTGCAAAACAACAAGTACAGTCGAAAAACACCCCCATTTAGGGGTGTTTTTTTGCAATTTTAGGGGTGTTCCAACCATTGCTGCCAGTTTTAACCCATATTTTCGTAATCAGTGCCCCAAAATACGTAAGGGACAAGTGGTCTCGTCAAGTGCGGCGTTTCTCGACCTTTTACCGTTATTTTAAATGGACTATTACTTATACCTAAGTTTATAAGATCTATTCTTGTACATCAAGCATATGGTGACATAGTGTTACTCCAGGTTTATTATCTTGCTTATTACTTATGATAAAATTATTATTTTCTTTTTTGCCTAATGATAATTAAGAATAATTTTTTTACGAATTTTTGCATATTGGCGTATACAGTGTGTCCGCAATTGGTGATGCATGTATTGCGATCTCCAAAACTGTAAGAGATATAAAAACGGTTTAATTTGAGATTTGTTCTCTTTTGGTTTTTGAGATATTTTGAAAAAACTAAAATAACGCATTTCCGAAAATACCCTGTATTTTCTTTATTTATGAAAATTTCTAAAATTTGTAAAAACTTTCTTGGATACATCATTAGGAAGGTAAAAAAGGGGCTTTTTAAAACAGTAAAAATCCAATATTGCGCCCATATGAAAAAACAAAGTTGATGGTTCCAAGAAACCGAAACGTTGCAAATAAAATCTAATCACACGGGCGTTTTTTACGTAAAAAGTTGATCCAAAAAAGTTTTTACAGTTTTTAGAAATTTTCATAAATAAAGAAAATACAGGGTATTTTTGGAAATGCGTCATTTTAGTTTTTTCAAAATATCTTAAAAACCAAAAGAGAAAAATCTCAAACTAAACGGCATTGAATTATAAATAGAATTGTCTAAAGTTTCGGAGATAGCAATACATAAAACTACCAATTTCGGACACACTGTATAGTTTAAAAATCGGTAAAATAGTTTTTTTTTGCTAACCGTCGCGTCGCTTCTATTACTCGTATTTATATTTGCGTATCCCAAATTACAAAAAACTTTTTCAGTGTATTCTCAGTTGATATTATTTGCTTCGATGAAAAGAGACGCAAGATAAATTTAAAGAATGAAAAAATAACTTTTAAAAAAATTTGATTAACCTTAATGTTATAATACTGTTATAGTTGGTAGTATTGACTGTCACCTGTCTCTCGTTTATTAATGTCAAGTGTCATTTTTCAGTTGTTGTTAATAATTTTCGACGAAGTTTGGTTATAAGTAGAATTCGTTTTGTGTTAGGAAGCAGCCATTTTAATAAAGTTTATATTATTTCTTACATATTATTTCTTACATTTTTTTATTTTCATTACTAATTACATTATGCTTACTAATTAATTTTTCTTTATCTTTAACTAAAGATTCAATTACTTTATTATACAGGGTGTTTTCAAAGTTGAGTCATTTATTTTAACAACTTGTAGAACTCGTCAAAAGAAGTTGATATACCAAAAATCACCTAACTAAAAGTTACATAATAAGGGAGTTATAGGTTTTTTTTTAAATTAAAAACTTTCATTATCGGTAAAATGTACATAAGTAAAAGGGGCTCATGAGCATTTTTATGTTTTTCCATCAGAGCGTGTTTAAGGTTGAAATTCTAGTTTGCGAACGCTACGTTGCTTTTTCAAGTTTTCGAAATTTTTCTGAAGGTTAATAAATAACAAACAAACTACGGTAAATATTTTTTGAGACAGTTTATATTTCTCTGAACAAAGAAAAATTAAAAACTCTTACAACTACAAAAACTACAAGGGAAAAAGAGGTTCATTTCATTGAAATGAGCTCGTTCTTTCACTGTACTACTAACAGCGATCGTCGTTAGTTAGGAAGACAATAAAATAATATTCTAAAAAAAGGAAATTTTTGAATATAGAAAAATTATCTTAACGTCTAAATCTTCCTTATTGGTGCGGCAAATTTGCAAAAAATTCTTGCGCTGCTCGGCTGTAAAACTTTTTCAAATGCTGAATATCGCGAAACTTCTCAGCATATACTGGAAGCTGTCCTAAAATAAATATAAAAAATAATAAGAGAAATACAGTGTGGTAATAACGAATAATTTAAAATACCTTCATAGCTATACTCAGGTAGCCTAAATTCGTTATTCTTGAGGTGACAAACAGGTAGCCTTAAGGATTTGCGGCGTTTTCCTTGCAATAAAGCTGACTCCCAAGCCACATTGTATGTGGTGCGATATTGTAGAAGAGCTCCTCTCTGTATGTAGATTTGTCTGATTGGCCTAGATGGAAATGGCGACTTTTTAAGGTAACTATTGTCGAGAAATTTTGTCCAACTACGGAATAATGTGTGATTCACATTGATAACGTTGAATGGAGTTGGCGAATGGCGGGCATCCTCCAATATTTGCAACCAGTCTTCGGGAACTTCTGCTCTCGATTTTTGGTTAACAAGACCAAAATTCTTATCACATTCCATATATGATTGTCCTTGAATAGGAAATGTGACAACAACGGATTCTAACCTTTTCTCATTGTTAACTAGGTTGTGCAGAAAACGAAAAAAAGTGAAATTCTTTTGTTCACCACTGCAAGAGTCACAAAATATTTTCATATGATTCACTTCTGGATCAAGATGGCTATATATGAAGTTATGAAGCAGTGAGCACACATCATCGGAACCCTTTTTCCCTTCGGATTCTGAATAAACATAAAAATAACTCCCAGAAGTAGACAAAACATGCACGTTAAATGCATATACTGATAGCTATCTCTTGTAGTAAATATCATTTGTTGGTATATTTGGAACCTGCAGATTCTTGGCGAAGTCCATACAAATTGCCTCTGTGTTAAAATTTTTTCTACTGTTTTTCTTAGCCATTTTCTTCCGAATATAAAACATTTCTGCTTTTTTCTTATGTAATGTATTTTCTGTAGTTAATTTTTTTATTTCCATAGATATTTGTAGGTTTTCCGTATTTTCCAGTTTTTAATCTTTACTGTAAACTCATCACAAGCGCTACAAGTGTCTGTTCGCGGATATCCAAAAGAAATATTGAAGTCACGACAAAACACCTGTCTATACGATTCATAGGATACTTTATTACTAGGGTGCAGCTCCTTATACATTGTACGCATTTTTTTGACATTTAGTTCCTCGGAAAGGTATATTTTTGTAGAGTCCTTGAGGCTATAATGACTTCCACGGCCTTTAAAGGAATTAATATGTTGCCTGACCAGACTTAGGTTTCTACTGAAAGTTTATTAAGATAGTTTGGGTGTTTACCTCGTTTATCCTGCGGAGCATATCCTGTTTCCTTTAAGCTTGATACCAAGATTTCCACTTTCTTTTTTGATATGCCATGAATAGCAATAAATGCTTTACGGCACACATTAAATTTCTTTGTGTTCTCTCCTACAAGAGCCCGAATCCTGTACGTATAGGATGCACCACAGTGTTTAGCGCCTTCTTTTAAAGTCTTACGTTGAACAGGAAGTACTGCTATTAATCCACAGAGATATACATTTTGGGCATCAGTCGAACCTAACATATTAAATTGCTTTAATACACTATTTCTTATGTCATAGGGCACATAAAAACATTTTTTTCAAACAATTACAGTCAGGACCCATTTCATGACTTTGGACCCTCATTTTCTTTTTAACGTCCCTTATTCTGCCATAAGATTTTCTTTCCTTGCGTCTAGCCTCCATCACACTACTTATATTTAGCTCTCCATCACTGCTAATATCACCACCTTCCATAATGAAAACTCAAAAATACACAAACTTACACTACTAGAGACGCGTTCTTAACGGCTGATGCAATAATACTACGAATAATGGCAATCGCCACCCAAATCAAACAGGCAAAAACGCGCGCATTGTACACGTGTTAACAATGAACTCGGTGTTCCCGTGTATAGGTTTTTTTTTCAGTGCAGATATCTCATTAACCAGCCCGTTTTATCTAGTTTGGAAGCTAAGAGGTGATAATATAATGAAAAATACTATCCATCCGGAATATATCGCTCTTTTGGCCAAAGATTCGATGAGCCCCTTTTACCCCTGTACCCTTCACTTGTTATCTAATTCGTAGTTTATTAAACTTTGAGAACTACCAGTATCTACTAACTGATTTATATAAATATGGGGTAGTTCATTTTCTACTAAGTGATTAATTTTTAATTAGTCTTTTTGCCTCGTCGCGGCCTCTGGAAAATTTACATGGTCATTTAAATGTTCACTATTCTGAATAGAATTATCAAAATCATAATCGTAATTTTCACATTAATAAATTTGATTTTCGAATTGATTTTCAAAATCAGCAGAATGAGCGTTATTAAATGTTTCCATATTATGTAACTAGGGTGCAAAATTCCTAGATCTGTTTAATTGAAAATAATTTCGATTATTTGATATTTGGACTGTGGGATTTTCTAGAACGAGTAGACATTGGTTCCGGTTTATTAGCAGGGATTTGACCGGTTGGTAAATACGTCTGCCAGAGGTCCGAAAACATGTCTGTTTGTTGAAATATTGTTGAGGTTGTAAATTTTGTCTGGGTTGTATGTTAAATGGTTGAGAAGGAAATTGATTGTATGAATTATTTCTAAAATTTTGATTGTTATAACCATTATAATTATTTTGGAAACTATTATTAGGACCTTGGTATGAATTTGGTCTTTGATTATTAAAATTCTGATAATTATTTCAATTTTGATGACTATTTCGGTGACCATTTCGGGGGTTAGATTTAATATTATTATTAAAATTGGAATTTTGAAAAAAATCATTTTGTTTTTGACCTAATATGAAATTTTCTTCTTCTAAAACATGAGGCATTGCCTTTTCAAGTAAATCAGGATTTTTTATCGTACTAAATCCTGTACGCGGCCAGTTAAATCACGAATAAAAGTTTTTAAAGCTAATTCATCATAATTTCTAATTCTAAACGTTCTTTCTTCCGTAGTTAAATTCATTGAAATTAATTTTGAAGCAATAGCACTTCTGGATTGCTGAATACCTACGTTGTCCAAAATTTATAAAAGATTTATTTCTTAAAATAATTAATTGTTGAACTAAACAATCAAGGTTTCTTTGGTCTTCGAAACTAAGCCTTAAAAGATTTTTTAAACTATCCCAAACTCTTACTTCTAGTCTAGAACCTACTAATCTTAATGCATTACTAGATAATTTTCCAATTATTGCTCCTAATAAAAAACTATTTATTGGATCGTTCCTATTTTGAGTATTTTTATATTGACTAATTAAACAATCATAATGTTCTAAAAATATCTCCAAGATTCCGCTGTCTCCATCAAAAATTGGTATTGTGTCTATATGCATTTTCATTAAAGGGTAGTTAACACCACTAACAGGAACAACTGAATCTTGACTACCGTTACCCATTGTGTTTGTTTTTAGAATTAAATTACTAATTGTTTCTATTAATTCGTCAATTTTTGCAAATTTAATTTAAAGTTAAAAATCTCTCAAAATATTATGTACATTAATATTTAAAGTTTAAAACTTGGAATCATATATTCAATATTCACGCAAAAATTATAAATGTTTATTTTATTTCTCAAAATTACAAAAGATAAAAATCATGGAATTCTATATTCACTAGTTATCCACAATTGATTCCCTAATTTTATCAAAGAAAAAAAAACGTAAAAAGGAAAAGAAAGGATTGGCTCACCATGTCCTTGGTTGAAGGTTCTGCTCCACAAAGAATTGAAACTCACAACGTCTTCACTTTGTTAACAAGAAAAACGCCTTGAAGCATCCGAATGACTGCGCCAGATAAATGAAAAAATAACTTTTAAAAAAATTTCATTTTACTTTACAAATGATTTACTCTGATAAAAACTAAGGAATGATAATTTTTAATTTAACATGATATATTTATAAGCTAGCTTGTGCTGAGCGCAGCAGGTCGAAGACCGGCTTGCAAGCTTGCATATAGAGTTCATATAATTCGCATGTTAGACACGACGTGACCAGCAAAACCCGCATTTGAATTGATCAGCTGGTGTCGGGGCCTCTTAAAAAAATAAAACCTAAAAAGCAGCGGGGATAGATGGAATTCCTCCTTTTGGGGATGTTATGAAAGGTTAAAACAACCTTTGCTACACATCTTGAATCATATACAGGGCGAGCCACCGGTATTGCATCGGTTTGTGAAGCTTAAACAATTTAAAAATAATTTCAATTATACATGGTTTTATAGGAAAGTGATGCATATCAGAGTTAGGTTTTTTAAATGGGACTATACAGGGTGATCAACTTATACTCCGGAGTTTGACATCTCCGTTGTTTTAAGGGATACGAACGAAAGTTTTAAATAAAAATTATAGAGTCCAGCTCCACATTTTAAAATTATTTCGTAATATACTGGGTATTTCATAAAGTCAAAGCATACCAAAGTTTTGTTTTTTTTAGTAGAACATCCTATATTATGTTATCTCGAATTTGAATTTTGCTCATTTTTCCCATTCCGGCAATAAAGGGTTTTATCAGGTTTTACAGGGTACTTTTAAAGAAATGACCATTTTTATGTGAAAATCTTAATGAAATCACCACCGTGTATTATTTAGAGTCAACAATTGAGGGTTAATATCTCAAGGCCAGAATTATTTTGTTGTAGTCTAGTTTTATTGCAACTCATCATGTTTTTGATATCTTTCATTTTGTATACAGGGTAACCCAAAATTCACGACCATGATTTTCTCGGTTATTTCAAATGGACCACCGCGTATTTTTATATCATTTTCATAAACTACATACAAAATACTTTTACTTTTGTTATGCATTCTCTATACCTAAATGTTACAGTGGTAGAGTTTTTTCGATTTTTAATAATAAAGCGATATTTTTGGTAGATTCTGAAAGTTTCGTAGAGTTGGCAATTGACAGCTTGAAAAACACGTTAATTATAAATAATCTAAAAATAAAAAATAAAACTACAGATTTTTTAACAAGACTATCATTAATACTAACAGCTATTAAATAAACAAAAAATTCGAAATAGTACTTGGAACAAAATTATTACAATAACTGCTCAAAATGACCTCTCATTACAATTAAACAGTGTTGTATCCGATATTTAAATGACCTCCCCACATTTCTAGCCATTGGAATACTAATGTTTTGGAAAACAATCCTAATTCTATTTTTCATGTCCTCTCTTGTAGTTACAGGTATTTCATACACCTCATCTTTCACATACCCCCACAGAAAAAATCAACTTTTGTTAGATCTGGCGATCTAGCTGGCCACTCAATTGGTCCTCCCTTACCTATCCATCGTTCTGAAAATTGATCATCAAGTTATTCATGAATTGCTGCATTATGATGTATTGGAGCCCCATCATGTAGATACCACATTTGCTGACGTATACGAAGGGGAACATTTTCAAGAAGTATAGGCAACTGATTCTCCAAAAAGTCTAAATAAACTTCACTCTTAACTGTTTCCTGAAAAAAATATGGTCCAATTACATAATCACCAACAATACCACCCCAAACATGTAAAGACCATCTTGTTTAAGAAGTAGTAACGATTTTTTTTTGGCGTAATAGTGAAAATTGTGTCGAATTAGTAAACTTATCTTCAAGAAGTATATAATTAAAAAATCTCTTTGATCATGAATTTTTCTTTGTGCCCAATTGCAAAAGTTTATTCTTCGCCGAAAATCATCATCCAATAATTCCTGGTGTAACTGAATGTGATACGGGTGCATCTTATTGTTTGATAGTATTTTTTGCACACTTCCATAGCTTATTTCTTGTTCTCTGGAAATTACTCGTATACTTGTATTTGGATTATCCGTAACTGCTAATAATACATTGAAATCATTTTCCTCAGTAATAACGGTTTTCGTTTTTTCCTTTTTTTCATACGCTACATTACCTGTACGATTAAATCGATCTATGGACTTTCTAGAAATTTCTTTTTTCAGGTAATCGGCGCTCTGGAAATCTTTCATGTTACACCCTTACTGCTAGAAAGAACTCCCTTCCCAACCCTTCCTGACAGTGGTGCAGCAAACGTCTTCTTGCTCATCGAGGTCGGTTCTTTCGTTTACGTTGGTGCAGGAATCAGCACAGTTTATGCAGGCTTGGGAGCAGAACAGACCTGCGCGCCTGCATCTACAACGCCCACCACAGCCAGTGCGGCATTTGCATGATATTTGCCATTTGTTTGTCATTTTTGGTTGACTTCCAACCCCACAAGTAGATGAGATTAGCCAGTTCTGGACCAAGGTCAGAGGTACAGAGAGAGGTAATTGGGTAATTAGTAATTATCCTAAGTACCCACCCCCCACCCTTGGCGCAATTAGCAAGTACCTCCCAATTACTATCATGTACTGTAATAAGTGTAATTGCATAGTGTAATTGCGTAGTGTAATGACACCTCTCATTACTCCATATACATAGAGGTGTAAGTACCTCTCGGGGAGTATTTACTATGTGTATCACATAATGTGTAACGAGCATGGTAAGTACCCATACTCATCGAAGTGTAAGTACCTCTTAGATAGTAAGTACTATGTATATCATATAATAAGTTTAGTCTAAATACATCTCAGTGATTACTATTGTGGCATAGGAAAAATAAGTCCATGTCTAAACACATCCTTGACTCTCAACCGCCATAGCTAGAGTGAAGCGCTAGTCTTCAGCAGACACGGGCAACGTAAACATTGATGGAAGGGGTAGAACCCCGCCCTTCGCGCATCTTCAGACTTGTATATTAGG